TTACAGAAATGACTTCATATTATTCGTATTGACAATTCAAAGTGGTGTTGCGCGGAATTATCTGCATTTTTTTTTTCTTAATATATAGATTTTCTTAATATATAGACGAAAATATCTTACGATTAATGAAACGAATATTTTCTTAGATATGTGTGCGATATAATCACGAAATTGTTAGAAACATTTAAAGAACCCTAACGTGACGTACGTTACGTGCATACGTAAATATATGTACCGTGTAATCGAAAGCTACGAAGAAAGCAAAATTCAAGATATGTCAAGATATTCAAGATATCATCGGACGCAATAGATGGCGGGAGAACTCTCCCCCAGAGATTGAAAAATCTATCGAAATACGTGCACCAAGCAGAGCAACATAATTACCCAGCCTTCGCATCGTGAGCGACGCGACGAAAACATGCGTGAGTAACAGTGTAGAATAAAAATATTGAAGAATCGAACACCGGTCAAACACGTTAGGTCACTAAAAATAGAGAATAAAGCCACGCGTTCGTTAGCGGATGCAGGTCGAAAAGTAAATCGGACTCCGCACGCATCAAGGCATCTTAGCGATTAACACGTAACGATTGCGATCGAGAATTTCGCAGAAGAATCATTTGTGGAACCAGTTCGCCCACCACGTGCACATACGTGACCGGCTTGAAGAACTGAATCGCGATGCTCACCCGTGTGAGCCTGTCGATTCACCTCCCTCGATACATTATTCAAGGATAAGTGCAAGTTACGCATGGTCAGTCAGTCGAGACCGCAAACGTTCTGTTGCCTTTTTTTTAACCACTGCCAATGCAATTATCGGCGCAACAAAGCGTAATTTTTACATAATCCTAACCTTGACGAAATTAAAAACGCGAACTTGAAATATTGTCGCGACAAAATCTATATCGTAAAATGGGACAACACTGGTCTAGTCGGGAGTTTGACCGAAATTTGAAAAAATATATCTAGACAGCACGAATGTTCAAAATCAATTATGCATCATCATAAGATACGTTGTTAGAAGTACAAGAAAAAAAATTATATAAATAGTAGTAATTTTTTTCTTTTCTAAAACAGAAATAAATTTAACTTATATATATACATATTCGTTCTTCCATTAATTAAAAGGCCTGTTCTTTTTAACTGAACTTCTTGCACAGTTCGTCTTTTCTCTTTTCCTTTCTAAAGCGAAGAGAAAAGGAAGAAAGATGGATCGTGCAAGAACTTTAGCTAAAAAGAACAGACCTAAAATTAAATACATGTAAATTGATTTTCCATTTTGTTCTGCATCTTAAAAAAGACAAGAAATTATTTAAATATCACTTAGTTTCTTAATTAACGCTTTTAGCGAATATATTAATTTCACTTAGTTTTGTGAGAGATAGCAATTTTTACATCTTAAAAAGTCTTTAAAACGTTTTATATTCCGTTTTATATTCTTTGATATGCTGTCTGGATATTATTAAAATTTGAGTCAAAAGTCACTCCAATTATTTTAGTTCTTTTTTGTTCTTTAGTCAAATTATTCCATTTTATAGTAACTGAAATCTTTACAAAAATTTATCGCTATTTTTTTACGATTTTACTATTTTAAATTGCTCTGGGAAATAACACATTGAATTTCCGGACTGCGAATATAATTTGTCAAATGACCGAGAGATAATGATGAAAATGATCGTCATTTGACAAACTCACGATAATCAGTACTCATAAAACAATCATGATACTTATTTGGCGAGAGACAAATTGCAACAAATTTACGAACAATTCTGATTCTTGATGATACCATTATTTGTTGTATCATTATGTGTCCTACTTTTCTGCATGTCGCTCGCTAATCAGATAGAAAGTAATAAATGCCAGTAATGAGAGAAGCTCCGCGTTAACAATTTCCGTAGCGCGGCAAACACGTGGGAGTTGCGTTTAGTTGCGTTTCACGTGCATCATTCGTGCGGTGTAATATGTTTATTAGACGAATCTGCACATTCGCAATAATAATCTAAATAATTCGTCAGCGTATAACCCAAGATACGCGTGCACGAGTTAATTAGACACCTTCTTGCCATTCTCCCTCTCATCCCCCCCCTCCCCCCCTCCCGCGATATTTACGTAATAACTTAGCACCGTGCACACAGATTGCGGCCTTCGTATTAATCTAATTCGAGATTTATCATTTGTACGATATCGGATATTGCATCTGCTAACCATAACATCTCTCGACGTGCCTATTATATCTCTATGCAGTGAAATATCATCAGAATATCAATCAGAATTCAGAATTCAGAATTCTCTCTGTAACGAAGATTGATAGAATAGCCAAACGTTTCTTGCATCAATAAACGCGTAATTTGGAACGCTTAACTAAAATTTAGTATCAGCTGGGATTATAAGTGAAAATAACTCAAAATATGAAATGTAAAGATTATTATTATCCTACAGTTAAAATAACTACTTCTTAAGTAAAATTAATAGAGATCGTTACCTAAAAGTGTTAATTAAAAAACTGAGATTTAAATAATTTCTCGTCTCTTTTCAGAGAAAAAAACAAAACAAAAAATCAATGTATTTAATTAATGCTTACGGAATTAATGAAAAATATGTACACATACACGTGCATGTGCACGCTCACATATACATGCATGTATGTATAAATTAAAATTTTGGTTCGTAAAAAAAATATTATTTTTTTATCTGTATTATTTTTTTGGGACATTCCTACAACATACAACTAAAACGTATTAAATAATATTTTATTAAATGTTTTAGCAACACAACCATTGATTTTATACGCATTTTATACGTTATGCGAGCATTTATGCGTTATGAATATTTATGTTAACGCTAACGTTGATGGATGAGGATAAATTCGTATTATCTCCTAAGAATTACACGCGTAAACCCGCAATAGATCAATAGAGAAATATCTCTCTGCACCGTTATCTAAACTCAATACGTCACCCCAATATCGATGGAAAGTGGCAAAACCTGTTTAGTTTCTGCATGTAATTCACCTGCTACTTTAATCTCATCGTTTTCCACGTCGCGTCCTTCATTCAATTTATTACCTGGCTTTATGAAACAATAAGTATTAAAAAAAAATAAAAGATAACATCTCAAAACGTTCAGAGCGATATATATTTCCTTTAACAATTATATCTGTCACCTTTTTTTAACTGACAGATAAAAAATCACCACTTCGATTGTCGAAGCACTCAAACGAAGTCAACAGGACTTCAAAACAAAAGATTGGCAATATTGTTTGAAACAAAGACTTTTTAACCAGCGACCACTACAAAAAAAGAACAATCCATCTTGATTCATTCGCTCGAAGCATTTTATTGCCCATGACGAACCAACCAGGATTGCACAGGATGAAATGCGAGTAGCAGCTGAAAATCACGGGAAACGCTGACAGGTAATTCAATCTCTGCCCAATGCACTATAGACGTCGAGACATACTTTGTGCAATAGAAAAAAAAATTCTGCGACTACGCATTTCACGACTGCACAGAGAGAGGTACTAGTTAATCACTTTATATTATACCTTTTTATTTCAATACTAGAACTATTCGAAACATTTTTAGTATTAGAAGGAACGTAGAAATTTATAATATTTAATAATGAATAAAAAATAAATCGTAAATTAAACAACGGTTGATAAAATCTTTGTAATATAACCACACAAGCATAAGAAAACAATAACTTCCACTCTATTTAACTTATTAATTGCAAATAAGAGAGGTGAAAATAATGCGATATACACCCATATTTGGAAAGAACATCTCGTAATATCATCATCCGGGATACTGACGTGTAATGCGTACGTGTACACACGAGCTTACACACAAATATGTGTACCATCAGGCCAACAAGCAATATCTGAGCAACAAGCTTAGATGCTCGGATATAATGGCATGCTCGTCCCCTTTCCCTGTCCATCCCTTTGTGGAGATCGATTCATGCCACACGATACATCATCACGAAACTTCATCTTCTGCTTGTGCAAATCACATGAAAATTTTCTCTTTTACGCTCGAGAAGAAATACATTCCGATCACATTGAGAGTAAAGTGATATCACAACTTTTTTATATTGTATAATACAAAATTTCTTACTTAAAACGAACACAGGATGTTTAAGTACGTTATTAGATCGAATAAAATTTCAACTGATTTCAGCGATGTAAAAAAACTGATCTAAAAAATGTTGTGGTTGATAATCGCGAAAATACTACTGTTAAATATCTGCGATATCTTAAAAGTATTATAATCTTGAAAAAAGATTAAAAACGCTCGTTTCTCGGATAATGTCAAACTGACTTTACTTTTCTGCGGACTGTGTTGCGGCCAAATTATCAAAAAGGCTCTTTGCTCGTTAAGATTCGCAATGGAAACACCATTAACCAACGACATTATCGTAATCACAATGCGCGTTATGATGCAAGCACCAAGTTGCGCCATAATCAGCAATATTGCGCATCGAAACGAAGCGCAAATTGCACGCGCGGGTAAAACCGAATGCGCGGCTGCCGCCGTTTCATCCTCGCGATTGTGATTCGCACGAGCGCAGAAATGTCCGCCACAAGTATAAATCCTTGGCGGCGCAACCGACTATGAAATTATCGTTCTGATGCTTAAGAGCCCCAACTATACATCATCTTGGTCACGTAGCCCTTCACCTTTCCATCCGTCTACCTATTCATCCGCCTCTTTTCCGCCACCCCGATTTACCCCGTCTTTCTCTGTCTCTCTCTCTCGCTCTGTCTCTTTTTCATTCTCTTCGTCGTCAAACATAAACGCGAAATGCAGTT